TCAAAAAGTTGTTCATTCATTATTTTACAAAAGTCAGTTTCATAGTTATTGGCATGTTTACCTAATCAAAACTCTATATCAATAATAAAAAATTATTTCCTAAAAATCTATATCAAAACTTGCAAAGCATAAATATTTGTGGATGTCAAAACTCTATATCTATATAAAAAATTTATTAATAATTTTAATTTCGATAAAGAACTTTGAATTTTAAATTTCTTTGGTTACTTGACGTATGTGATATTAAAATTAGAGAAATTTGCAATAGCTGTCACTTATATTTTTTTTTTGTTAGTTTTTTTGTCACTTTTCAAAACTACTAATTTTTTTTTGTCACTTATTGCAATTAGATGACGATTATACTCCTTTGATGCTATATCGTGTACCGTACATGCACGTACACACCACACTGTATAGAGGCAAAATAGGTATGAACAGTATACAAAGTGGTACATTGTGATGTAGGTAAACATATGGCAAATATATAGCTATGAAACTGATTTTTTAAAATAGCTACGAAACTTACATACAAATGATATGTCTATATTTTACATCATTTAGATTGCATTATAGAGTCCTCATCATGTGTTTTCTCATGTAAAACTGAGTCTTTAGGCGTCAAAATAGGACTTAGGGCTTGCATTAGGTCCCAAAGAGTTTTGCATGTTTTGAAGTCTTTATCAGGAGCTTTGGAGACCAATTGGAGCCTAAGAAGAGGAACAGAAAAGAAAACGGTGAAGAAAAGGGTCAAAAATGGTGAAAACCGCTTGGAGGAATTTCTCGGCCAAATCGCGTACCGGCTGGTCGGAAACCTCGGCCAAAATGTTTACCGGAATGCTCATTACCGGCCAAAAACCTTACCGATCGGCCAGAATCGAGTATCGAGTGCAAAAATACCACAGGACAAGTTTTTGACCGAGGCAAGGATTTTTACGACCAAAAGGCTTACCGCGGTACACAGCCCTCGGCCATTTTCCTTACCGCGGGAAGGTTTTTACGACCAAAAGTTGTCCTTGCCCACGCAATTCAGAGATCAGAAATCCAGGGAACCTTCCGGTCCGAATCAGTTGGCGGGGTCTTCATCAAAGTTGGAGAGAATTAAGCAAAGATTCCAGAGCAGTTAGAATCATCCCATTGGGACCAGTTAGGAGAAAGATACAGCTTCCGGAAGATGCACCAGCATTACGCGCATCCGAGAACCGAACGGCGGATTCCAAAGATCACGGCGGACGGAGCCTTTCCGGACGAAACTAGCCTGCCCTGTCTTCATCAAAGTCTGAGATCTATGAAGTACCTTCTCAGAACAGTTGGAATCGCTCAGTTCGGAGCAGTGGTTCAAAAGATAAGGTCTCCGGAGTTCACATTGGTTCAAAAGCTTATTTTCCGGTGAATCCGATGCGGTGCAAAGATGTGAAATCCAGGAAGCCTTCCACTTCCCAAGATCCAACGGTCCCTTCACCAAAGTTCGAGCTTGTTGAGTCATATTGACTGTGGAACTGGTTCCAGAGCTATTGGAGTCGTCTGCTGAAAGTTACTGCTTCCGGAAGGTGACATGGTTGATACAAGCCTAAATGAGTTGCGATACGCGCTAAGTGTTTTCACAAGCCTCGGTATCTTTACCTTGGCATCAATCAAGTCGAGGCTCATATCTTGGAAGTATTCTGGGCTAGACCTCGTGCCAAAGCCTTGGCATGATTAGATCGATGCATTCATACGTAAGAACTGAAGCTGGAAACGACTAAGTGGTGAAAGTACACCTCGGTGTAATGACCTCGGCGTGCATGCCGGACTGTGTTCTCCCAAGCACCTCGACATCATGACCCCTCGACATTTTATCCCGAGGTCCCTTGTCACGAACCCAGAATCAAGAACAGAATGGCTCAAGAACACACACGTGAGGATGGATCAAAGACTAGGGTTCATGCATGTTCTTGACGTGTTCTTCACGAGATCTTCATCTGGATCCTGACTCACGTGCATACCTCGGCATGAAGACCTCGACTTCACTTTCCGACACACCGTGGCACTCACCCATCAACCCAAGGAAGCGGTTCAGTACCCGGTTTGTTCCGGGCTGACCCGCGACACTTTCCCTTTACTATAAATACATTTTAGGACCAAAAACCTAATCATCTTATCTTTTATCTCCATTTTACGTTTAAGAACTTGCCTTTTTTGTGAAACCAGACTAATCTAATCCGATATCTCGTTTTTGCATCTGAATCTTGTTCTTTCTTTATTCTTCTTTTATTATCAGCATTAAACTTCTAATCATGACCAGCTACACGTCTTGCAAAGGACTTAGTGAGCTCGTTATGATCAGTGAGTAGTCGTTTAAGCGGCTTTAGATAAGTAGATTAGGGTGCTTTCAAGATAGATTAGTGGGTTTAGGTGTCTAGTCTTGCATGTTTCATTCTTTAACCGACGAGATCTCTAGGCTGGACCCAAGCATATCACTTGAGGTTCAGATCTGAGGCATATCTCGCATCAAAAGTGTTTGTAGAAATGTCTGAACCACTCGGTTAAAGGTTTAAGAGTCTTTCATCGCGAGAGTGATAGTTTGTTCTCTTAAAAGACATATTTGAACTGAATCTTATTGCTGATTGATTTGTGCTTCTCAAAAGACATTTTGGTATGAAGGAGGATCAGTTTAGATGTTTGATACTTTCATGAGAAGATTAACATGCCTTGAGTTCAAAGTTAAATGAAATCGCTTGACAAAATAATTCATTAACCCATTAGTTTAGCTTGGAAGCACCCGAGTCGATTATCTTGTCTAGAGTCTCTTCCCTTATCGCATATTATTATCATCTGAATCACCTGTTTGTTGTTTGCATCTTGATTAGTTTAAATCTCTGCTTTTATTTAATTTTATTGCTTATTTGCCTGTTAATCATCGTCACCAAACTTTTATCTTCTTGTCTTGACTTAAGTGAACAAATGACATAGGCTAGTGTCTCGTTTACAAGCTTGGTTTGACACCCCTTATACTACTTTGACAAGGGGATTGATAACCCTTCTAAGAGCCCCAAAACTCTTAGTTATCAATTGGCGCCGTTGCCAACTTGTAGGAGCATTATCCTCTTGTTTGTTCTTAAGATCAAGAATTTACTTTCTTTTGTTTTACTGATTCTTTTGCAAGTTCTTGTTTTGTTTTCAGGTGCATGAATACCAGGTCTCGGAGCACAGGATCGCTTTTCCCATACGACGATAACATCGACAGATTAGAAAGGCGAGCTCGCGAGAGAGAACGGCACTTTGACAGACTTGGAATGGCAGAACAACAGCGAATGGAGCAACAGGCTCAGGCGGCCGAGCACCAGGCTCAGGCTAATCAGGCGCAGGCAGGAAGAAATGAACAACAAGCCTATGTTAATCAGCAACAGGATCAAAGAAACGAACGGCTTGCTCAGCAAAACCAACACCAAGCGAACAGAAATGAGCAACAAGCCCATCATGTTCATCCGCCACCGCCACAAGTTCAGAGACAACACCCTCCAATTTGTGTTGGAGAGAATGACTGAGCTAATGCGCACCAATACCGAGCTGGGATTCAAGCTCCACCAGTTCAAAACAACAACTTTAAAGTTAAAGCTTCCCTGCTCAACATGGTGCAAAACTCCAAGTTCCACGGTCTGGCTGGAGAAGACCCTCTCGAGCATCTAGATCAATTTGATCGGGTTTGCGACTTAACCAAGATAAATGGCGTCTTCGAAGATAGCTTCAAGCTACGCTTGTTCCCTTTCAGCCTCGGTGATAAAGCACACCAGTGGGAAAAGAATATACCGAGGGGCTCTATACAAACCTGGGAGCAGCGTAAACTGGCGTTCTTATCAAAGTTCTTTTCCACATCACGCACGGCTAAGCTCAGGAATCAGATCTCAAGTTTCACGCAGCACAACAACGAGAGCATCCCTCTTGAGTACTTGGGAACGGTTTAGGAGCTATACTAACCAATGCCCACACCACAGCTTCTCAGAGGCATCCCTCTTGAGTACTTTATACCGAGGTGCACTCCCCAAGATCAGAAACCAACTCGACACAGCTTCAAATGGAAATTTTCTTGGGAAAGAGATCAATGCAGCAATGGAACTAGTCGAGAACCTAGCCATGTCCAATGACACGTATGGAGAGGACTTTGATAGAGAAAACCGTACAGAGGGATCTAGTGATGAACAGCGTATGAAAAAGGATATAAGAGAGCTTGAGAGCAAGCTTGACAAGGTTTTGATGGCGACTCAAAAGCCAATACACTTTGTAGGCGAGTTTGATGAGCAAGGGCCAAGTTTTGACAATGTTAATGAAGATGGTCTAACTCAGGAGGAGCTGAACTACATAGGGAATCAGCAGAGGTATCAGCGGTTTAACAACCACGGCAATAACCCCAACCTCTCTTATCGAAACCCGAATGTAGCTAACCCTCAAGACCAAGTGTACCCTGCTCACCAACACCAAAGCTATGCTCCAAAAACCCCTTTTCCGAATAACTTCCAGCCCAAGCAACAGTTCAGTGGGCAGCAACACGGCTACACTCAGCAGAATCAAGCAGCTCAGGGTAACAACTTCAACAACCAACCGCAGCAACACAAGTTTCCACCAGGGTTCAATCCGCAGCCGATGGGTAATCAACAACAGATTCAGGGAACGGGTCAGAATCAGATGGGGAACGATGTCTATGGGAGATTACAGCAACTGTTACAGGGCCAGCAAAGGGTTGAGAGCCAGCACGCGACAATGCAGCAAGATATCAGGGAGCTTAAGAAAAATCAGGCATCTACATCATCAAGAGGCCCTGCTTTACCAGGTAAACCGCAGCCGAACCCTAAAGAGTATGTGAACGCCATCACATTGAGGAGTGGTAAGGAATTACAAACTCCAACGCCTAAGACAAAGCTCATTGAGGCCAATGAGAAACTAGAGGGGGAGGCAGCCTCGGATGATGCGCATAAAGAAGAGGTCTTAGAGAAGGACAAAGGAAAAGAGGTGGAAAAGACAACCGAGCTTGAGAAGCCCTATGTTCCACCACCACCTTATCAACCCAAGATACCGTTCCCAGGGCATTTCAAAAAGAAAATCTTAGACAAAGCCAAGGCGGTCTTTGAGAAACACTTGGAGAACACGCAACTCACCTTACCCATAATAGATGCTTTCTTAGCTATACCCCAGCTTGGGAAGTTTCTAAAGGACGCGATCCTCAACAAGACAAAGGAGCTCCAGGGTATGGTGATACTGAGTCATGAGTGCAGCGCAATAATACAAAGGAGATCTATACCAAGGAAGCTATCCGATCTGGGCAGCTTTACTTTGCCGTGTGCTTTAGGTCACTTGAAGTTCTCAAACTGTTTATGTGACCTTGGAGCTTCTGTGAGCTTAATGCCTTACACGGTGGCCAAGAGATTGGGATACAAAAGCTACAAGCCGGCCAAGATCTCTCTTGTATTAGCTGATAGATCGGTTAGATTACCGGTGGGGTTGCTTGAGGATCTACCTTTGAGGATCAGTGAGATAGAAATCCCCATGGACTTCGTAGTTCTTGAGATGGACGAGGAACCATTAGACCCTATCATCTTGGGCCGACCGTTCTTGGCGACCACAGGAGCCATAATAGATGTGAGAGGAGGAATGGTTGAACTACACATCGGTTCCGAGACTATGAAGTTCAATGTGAAGGAGATGATGAAGAAACCGACCATTGGAGGTCAGGTTTTCTATGTGGAGGTAATGGAGGAGCTAGCTGATGAGCTCTTTGAAGATTTGAACGCAGAGGATCCGTTACAAGTGGTCTTAACACAGGAACAAAGCGAGCACGGGTACTTGAGCGAGGAAAGCGAGGTGTACAAGCTTCTTTTGGACCAACCGAAGGAACTTGGAGCTGAGGCGAGGTTTTTGGAGCTCAGGAAGAGTGGCCTCGACATTTCAGACAATGAGGGATCCACGGGAACAGAGGAGACACCTCGGGATATCATGGCCGTGACAGTTTGTGCCGAGGCCGATGGTATACCGCGCGAGAACAAGGAAAAGGCCGAGGAAGCTGTTCAGGGCCAATGCAGCTTTGATGCCGATTGGAATGAGGCAGACGCACCCCCTGTTGAGCTCAAGCCTCTACCAACAGGGCTCAGGTATGCGTTCTTAGGTCTAAACTCTACTTTCCCTGTGATCATAAACGATAACTTGCTTGAGCATGAGGAACGTGCATTACTTAATGAAATAAGGAAATTCAGGAGAGCCATAGGGTATTCCTTGGCTGATATTAGAGGGATCTCTCCTGATATATGCACCCATAGGATCCACCTGGAGGACCAAGCCATTTCTTCTATTGAGCCCCAACGTCGACTTAACCCGAACCTCAAAGAGGTGGTTAAGAAGGAGATACTAAAGCTCCTTGAGGCAGGGATAATATATCCAATCTCTGACTCTCGGTGGGTATCTCCTGTACACATTGTGCCCAAGAAAGGTGGGATCACGGTGGTGAAAAACGATAAGGATGAACTCATAGCCCAAAGAACTATAACCGGCCATCGCATGTGCATTGACTATAGGAAATTGAATTCTGCATCAAGAAAAGATCATTTCCCTTTACCATTCATTGATCAAATGCTTGAACGGTTAGCTAATCATCCTTATTTCTGTTTTCTCGATGGATACTCTGGATTCTTCCAAATACCAATAGATCCAAGAGACCAAGAGAAAACCACATTCACCTGCCCTTATGGCACTTATGCTTATAGAAGAATGCCATTCGGTTTGTGTAATGCACCGGCCACTTTTCAAAGATGTATGATGCACATTTTCTCTGATCTAATTGAAGAGAAAGTTGAGGTGTTTATGTATGACTTCTACGTATACGGCTCCTCTTTCTCCGAATGTCTTGCTAATCTTTCTCAGGTTCTCAAGCGATGTGAGGAGCATAGGCTTGTCTTGAACTGGGAGAAGTGTCATTTCATGGTCCAAGAAGGCATTGTCTTGGGACACAAGGTATCAGAGAAAGGCATCGAGGTGGATAAGGCCAAGATCGAGGTGATGGTGAACTTACAAGCCCCGAATTCTGTGAAAGGAATAAGAAGCTTCCTTGGCCACGCTGGGTTCTATAGACGGTTCATCAAGGATTTCTCCAAGATACCCAGGCCCTTAACCAGGTTATTGTGCAAAGAAGTGGATTTCAACTTTGATGAAGAATGTGAGGAAGCGTTCAAGAGAATCAAGGAGGCTTTGATCAGTGCACCGATTGTACAAGCCCCTGATTGGTCTCTACCATTTGAAGTAATGACCGATGCATCTGATTATGCTGTAGAAGCTGTCTTGGGGCAGAAGAAAGATAAAAAGCTCTATGTGATCTACTATGCGAGCCGCACCTTGGACTCAGCTCAAGAAAAATACGCGACCACCGAGAAGGAAATGCTTGCCATTGTGTTTGCATTTGATAAATTCAGGAGTTATCTAGTGGGATCAAAGGTTACAGTTTACACAGATCATGCAGCCTTGAGATATCTGATGGCTAAGACGGACGCTAAGCCGAGGTTGTTGAGGTGGATCCTATTACTCCAAGAATTCGATATGGAGATACTTGACAAGAAAGGCATTGAAAACGGAGCCGCAGATCACCTCTCCAGGTTGAGGATTGAAGAACAGGTCCCAATTGATGATGCATTACCGGAGGAGACCCTTATGCTAGTCAGGTCTTACCTAGAAGTGGAGGAAGCCAACACGATCAAAGAAAGAAGCCTACCATTGTTCGCAGATCTAGTGAACTACTTGTCTTGCGGTTTAGAGCCACCGGATCTTGATACCTATCAGAAGAAGAAGTTCTTTAGAGATGTGATGAGGTATTATTGGGATGAGCCGTACCTTTACGTGCTTAACAAGGACCATCTCTATAGGAGATGCTTGGCCGAAGAAGAAATTCATCCGGTGCTACAAGAATGCCACGGCTCATCGTATGGTGGTCATTTAGGTGCGTTCAAGACAGTTGCCAAGGTTCTACAGAGCGGTTTCTGGTGGCCGACCATGTTCAAAGACGCCCAGGAAGTGGTCTCGAGGTGTGAAGCTTGTCAAAGGCACGGAAACATATCCAAAAGGAATGAAATGCCCCAAAACCCAATCTTTGAAGTAGAAGTCTTCGACTGTTGGGGCATTGACTTCATGGGTCCCTTTGTAAGCTCGTATGGGAATCAATATATCCTTGTAGCGGTGGATTATGTGAGTAAATGGGTTGAAACGGTTGCATCTCCGACCAACGATTCAAGAGTAGTGGTAAAACTCTTCAAGAGTATCATCTTCCCACGGTTTGGAGTACCAAGAGTAGTCATCAGTGATGGGGGAAGCCATTTCATCAACAAGACTCTTGAGAGTCTTTTGAAGAAGCACGGAGTAAAGCACAAGGTGGCCACCCCTTATCATCCGCAAACCAGCGGCCAAGTGGAGGTTTCCAACCGTCAGATAAAGGCCATTTTGGAAAGGACCGTGAACTCATCCAGGAAGGATTGGAGCAAGAAACTTGACGATGCTCTGTGGGCTTACAGAACCGCCTACAAAACCCCCATTGGAACCTCACCATTTAACCTGCTCTATGGGAAGAGCTGTCATTTACCGGTTGAGTTGGAATACAAAGCCTTGTGGGCAGTGAAACTTTTGAACTTTGACATCAAGACCGCACAAGAGAAAAGAGTTCTACAGCTTCATGAGCTTGAGGAGATACGGTTAGATGCTTTTGAGAGCTCTAAGATCTACAAAGAAAGAACCAAGGCGCTCCATGACAAGAAGATACACAAGAGAGAGTTCAAAGAAGGGGACCAAGTTCTGTTGTTTAACTCAAGACTTAAGCTGTTCCTTGGGAAGCTGAGGTCTAGGTGGTCCGGTCTGTTCACGATTCTTGAAGTAAGACCCTATGGAGCCGTGGTTTTGAAAGGAAAAGATGGACAAGGTTTTGTGGTAAACGGCCAGAGGGTAAAACATTACTTGGCATCAGAAACAAGGG